TCCATGTATATCGCCTTCAAGTATGCCTAGAGTTGTCCCCTTCCATGCTTAGATGATGAACTTTGTTGTGTGCATGTTTGCATGCATAATTGGTGCTCTTTTGCACCATCTTTGGCCACTGTTTTGGGGGCATGGCTGAGGCCTCCCATTTCAGTTTAAGACCACCCTTGTACATAATTGCATACTTGGCATGATGTATATTGCATTACATTAGTTTCATGCTTGCATTATATCTTGTTTGCATTTTCGCATATTGCTTAGCTAATGGCATCACATGACCGTGTTGCATACTTGGCATACTAATGTGACATCAGATTAGCTTTCATGTCTTGGTAGTATTGCATTGTATTAGGCGAGCATGCTCATATTGCATTGCATTAAGTTGCATCATTTTGCATCATATTTGACATGCATGCATTGCATTAGGTTTGGTTTGGGGTGTCAAACCAAATCTGAGGAATGGGATGCGTTCATACTTAGAGTGATGTAGCGCGTCTCACTCCTCGGTCGCCAATGCCCTTGATATCAACATGATAGGGCATAAGGCATTCATTTCTTTTGTGCATGCATTTACATTGAATGGCAAACTTGGCCTCTTAGGCCATCATGCATCAAAATGCATAATTGATGGCCCGAGGGTCGAGAGACATGCTCCCTTGAGTCCATTGCATGATAGGGAGTGTGGCCATGCTCACATTTGCTTGAAAATTCCATGCCATACACTGCTTGCCCTCTGCTGCTGTCAACTGCAGGATTCTGCAGGAAGAAATAGCCGACCGGCCATCTCTAGTGTTGACCGGCCATCAGTGTCCAACCGATGACACAAGCTTTGGCCGATAATCCCATTCCCATGGCCGGTGGCCTTTGGTTCTGGCCAGTGGCACTCCACAGCACTCAGAAGGAAGCTCAAAGCAGTTCTGGAAACTTTCACAATTTTCAGAGTAGCAAGGCAGTGTAAACAGAGGCAATAGTGGCATGGTACGGGTTTCCGAGCAAGGCAAGTCAAGCATGCATCATCCACGCATTCCGAGGTAGGGATGCGGCCACCTTCCTTCTGCATTTAATTTGTTAATTAATTAGAAGTTCTGTAATATTTAATTTAGTAGTATTCATTTGGTTGTGTAATATTTATTCGGACCCTCTGAGTGAGGGCAATTGTGTAATAAGTGTGCGTGAGCGTGTGTATGTCTTCTAACCTTACATCTTTCTTCCCTTTTTATTTACTAGCTTTCAATGGTTAGTATTAGGGCATATTTAAATTAGCATACCTTATGCTTTTCATGCATTCATCCATCCATCTGTATTGCATGCACCGGGCTCGACGCATCATACTAACTGCATTGTATTTCAATTTCATGTTGAATACGTGTTAGTTGTGGCATCATCATATGTCATTCTTAGATTAGCCGAGCCGATTCTAGTTGCATTCTGTATGTGTTGTATTAGCCATCTTAACATAAACTGGGATCATGCATTTGATTACTAACTAGTTTCTGTTTTGGCTTGGAGTACTAGGTAAGCTCTTATGCTTTAGCATCTTGCATGCGTGTGAGTGTTGCCATATTAGCATGCTTACCATGAGGCTATGTGCTTATGTGATATAACTGCCTGAATGCCTGTGGGTGAAGGTTGGGTTATTTGAATTGGGACAATGCATTGGATGCGAGTTTTAAGCCCACTTGAGGGTGGCAAAATCTATGTCTTAGCCTACTTACGGGTAGCATCATCAAACCATTTTCAAACAAACAAACATGAAATGTTTCGTTCCAATTCAGGCGACCCAGTCTATACTTGTTTGTTGTGCACATAACATAGTAAATCTAGGCTAATAACCGGAATAAGAACATGTAATATTTTCAAAAAAAAAATATCATGGTTAGTAGAGGCCGATCTTTGATCGGGCGAGCGGGGGTGCTCATAGCTGACCTTCCCCAATCGTACCCAAGTTCCTGAGCCGAGGCAACTTTGGTGATGACGAACACATGGCCTTAGGCAACGAGTCAGGGTTTCCTAAATTCCCCCATAAAAAATATGTAGGTGGCGACTCTGTATCTGGCAAAGCAGTCCATGTTTGGCACTTCTTTCTAAAAATCTGTTTTCTCAAAACGATTTGCCGAATTTGGACTGTTTGGTTCAGATTTAGAACCGTGACAATTTGAGAGTCCGAACTGTAGTGACCCACAGACGAACAGAACGGGACTCATCCTCCTAGGGCGTTCGGGGACGTCTACAGTTTCTGGCGACTCTGCTGGGAAGTTTAGAGAGCTTGACTCGAACTTGTGATATCTTGTTTTGATTTCACTTATGTGTTTCTTTGCATTGCATGTGCATTGGTGCGCCTAGGACACCGTGTTTGCGGTCTGCTATTCCTGAGCGGTTAGCCTGAGGCTGCGTGCCATAAGATTGACCGGTTACAGGCTCTGCCAGTATGGGAACACAAACCCCGATTTTACCGGGGCACCCTTTTTGACCATTCGACCTAGTGTATATTCGAAATCCGTAGTGGCCATTCCAAGCTAGGACAGGTTGCTTACCCGATTATAGGTTGTTTGAAACCGCTATGTACGTAGTGAAACCCTAGCTCCTGTTAAAATAGGACAGGGAAACCCTACCCCAACATAGGGGTGTTTTCATTCTCATTTACTTGCTATGTGCTTTTAGAGTGTATCTCTACAGGAACGCACATGTCAGTTTGCAAGTTTAGTACCAGTCCTGAGGGCATCAGTATCAGTATTTTGGGAATCAGTTATCTGCGGGTATCAGATTCAGTTTTCGGGAACAGTGATTCAGGGATAATAATCAGTATTGAGGAACAGTATATTCAACTTATCAACCGTGTGCTATAATGCCCAATTGTGTGTTGTGTGTTTATTTTACGCTGCTATGCTGTCCGTTTGTCTGGTCATTTATTTCCTTATTATTGCTTTATTTATCTTTTTGCAAGGGTAGTTTAGCACGATTGCTTTTGACCCAGTAGATATTCCCCAAGCACTCTGGACTAGAGGTCGCCGACTCCATCGATCCGAGGATCTGGTCGACGGACAACCAGTGTTTTATTCCTTACCCCCGGTTATCAGACGGAGGTCGAGAAGACGCAGTGTATCGGTATCGAGACTGCCAGATTAGTGGTCTTTGAACTGTCGGGTTGAGATTTCCAAACCCACTACAAAGGCAGATACACCTGCAGTTCAGATAAATCAGGGTAGTATGTCAGGAATGGAAGACATGGTGCGCTAGCTCCAGGAAAGCATGAAAGCCATGCAAGAGGACGCTATTCATCAAGCAGAATTTGCCAAACAGCAAGCCGTTGTTATGGCCCAACAGGCGGAGCTAATTACTCAGTTACAGCAACAAACCAGAGCATCCGCTTCACACCAGGTTCCTCCCCCAACAAGAGTTCCGATACCTGAGGAGACGACAAACGTCCAGAATGCCCAAGAAGATACGGACATCCCAATAGGGCCGCTCTGCCTCCGATTTTACCGCAACTATCGAAGGCACCCACGCCTATCAATCAACCGGACTCCCCCTTCGAGTTCGAGGTAGACCCTACAGCATTAAAGTTGAGCAAGCTTGAGAAGTTGTTCAAGAAGTCCCAAGGGGTAAAGTCCATCCCAGATATCGAGGACGGGTATATCGACGCGGCTGTGACGCTGCCAGATCGATTCAAGATGCCACACATTGACCGTTTTGATGGATCCGGGGATCCCATGGTACATCTACGGTTGTTTTCAGATATCTTAAGGCCGGCTATCTTTGTTCGGCCGGACCCTGTCGGGTGTGGCGGCCATCTGGTATGCCAAATTAGAAGATGATGTTAAGAGAATCTAGGATGAGATGGCCGAGGCATTCATTACACAGTACTCTTATAACACGCAAATCGAGATTACGACCCGTGATCTCGAGACGACAAGGCAGGAGCCTAAGGAGAGCTTTTCAGAGTTCGTAACCAGATTGAGGGCCAAGGCCTCAATGATGACCCTATGGTCGGGTGTGGCGGCCATCTGGTACGCCAAATTAGAAGATGATGTTAAGAGAATCTGGGATGAGATGGCCGAGGCATTCATTACACAGTACTCTTATAACACGCAAATCGAGATTACGACCCGTGATCTCGAGACGACAAGGCAGGAGCCTAAGGAGAGCTTTTCAGAGTTCGTAACCAGATTGAGGGCCAAGGCCTCAATGATGACCCTATGGCCCACCGATAAAGATCAAATTCGGATGATTGTACGCAATCTCCAGCCTAAGCTAATGTAGAAAATAATCGTGCTCCCCTTCCCTACCTTTTCGGATCTGCATGAGATGGGAGTACAGATTGAGGATGCCTTGAAGTAGGGCTTGATTGACAATGATAGAGAGCAACCCAGGAGAACTTTCAACAGTAATACCAATGCAGGCCCAAGTGGCGCTGCGACCACAAGAGCATCAGAAGTGAGCATGGTCACCACCAACACCCCTCCAAGAACCATGGCAGCTACGCCATTCTCTGGTGCGTCCAGAAGCAATACACAAACAGCCAAATACCAACCCAAAAACCAAAGAACCTTCGGCCCACTATATATGCCCCTATCCAAAGCTCTGGGGGTTTTAATCAAAAAAGGGCACTTGAAGCCCCTAGAGCCGCGGCCATTATCGGAAAAACTTCCCCTTACCCACAACCCAGCCAAGTATTGCGCATTTCATCAGCAACACGGTCATGACACCGACTAATGCTTCCGATTACGTCATGAGATTCAAGATCTCATTGATAATGGGGTGATTGTGTCTCCAGAAAAGCCCAACGTCACAACCAACCCTCTCCCACCACACAACCAAGCTCCACCTCCCAAAAGAATCAACTTTATCCAAACCGAGGTCACGTCATACGACCCCAGCATCTATATCACCCCGTCCCACCTACCTAAGCCGGAGGTGCTCCTTCCTAACTGCACTGACTTGTGCATGTTGGACATCTCCAGAACCTAACCCGAGCCAATAGTGGTGACTGTCGAAGACAGAACAGGGGAGACTTCAGTGGAGAATGGTATTGCTGAGTCAGAATCTGAGGAATCTGGGGATTTTGCTGAAAAGGTATACAGTCCGAGTGACTACATTCTGTCAGTAGGCCAGGTTGGACCAAGTGTGGAATTGCCAGCAGGGGCAAAGCTTTGTGTAATACAGAGGGATAGATTTGATCAGAGATTAGAGGACTTAGCGGCTGTGGAAAGGGACTTTGCTGACCTCCAGTTTTTCAATGAACAAGACCCAGACAGCGTGGCGGTCAACTGGTCTGACTTTGAAGAGTCAGCAGAGGTTACCGGGTGGCGTGATGACCTACCAGACATTGTTGAAAAATCTCAGTTGGAACAGGGCCCGGCAGGGGCAAGGATATCAATTATGGCCGGAAGGGCCGGAGATCAGAACGCATCGCTAGAGAGCGCCGGCGCTAAGAATTTCGCTCAGGATCTGGGCATTTTGACTACAGGAATTATAGAGTAGCCAGCTATACTGACACAGTTGGAACAAAAAGGAATCGAGGAGTTTGAGAGAATCAAAAAAGCCAAGGCCCCCGTGGGGACTGAAAGTATTGTGTGCACAAGGACAGAGAGTGCTGCGAGCATGTGGACAGAAGGTACTGCGAGTACAAGAATAGTCATACCAGAGCCAGACAGGTGTCTGTCTGCTGCTGACGGAATGTGGTGGGAGGACGATGATTTATGTCTTGCCCACACGGATGAGGATTGGGGGAGCAATCAAGCAGACGATACCTGGTACATCGACGAAGTCAATCATATGACTAGAAGCGGGCGGTATTTTAAGCCCCCACATCTGGATCAGCTAGAGGCGTCTGGGAAAGATAAGGAGATGGAGAAACAGAAAGAGAAGCAACTCGAAGAAGAGGCTGTACTGAAGCAGCTGAAAAAGATACAAGCAGACATCTCCATATGGGGACTGCATATGGCATTACGTGTTCATCGACAGGCCGTCCTATCGACAATGGATAAGGCTAAGCTCTCAATAGAAACCACGCCGGAACAATTGGTGGGATTGGTCTTTCTGGGAGGAGCTTCCCCGATGCTGACCTTCTCTGACAAAGAATTGCCACCTGAAGGTGTGAATCACAACAAGCCACTCTACATCTCTGTGGAGTGTAACAACAAATGGATACCGGTGGTTCTTGTTGATACAGGATCCGCCATTAATGTGTGCCCGGCAACGACCGCCTATGCGATCAGGTTGAAACCCACAGACTTTGCGCCAACCACCCAGGTGATAAGGGCGTATGATAATACAAGTAGAGAGGTAAAGGGGACCGTGCAAATTCAGACCAAGGTTGGGCCGAGACAGCATAAGGTAGACTTTCACGTCTTGGAAGTTCCTGCGACCTTCAATCTACTTTTGGGGCGGCCATGGTTTCACCAAGTAAAGGCAGTTTCATCGACTTTACATCAGATGGTGAAATACCCCCATAGGAAGGGAGTAGCCATTGTTTTTGGGAATTCATCGATCCATCCACCGCCAGAGGTGTCTAAACCAGTCCTAGAAATTGAGCACGGTATAGAGGATGTGTTCTTATCCGGTTTCACTCTGGCTGAGGCCCGGGTCGTACAGAACATTTTGGCTGTTAATGAGGGGGTGTATGTCAGTGCTCAATTAGTATACCTCATGAACAAGCTCCAACACATACCCGGGATGGGATTAGGGAAGAGTGGCTGGAAGGGCAGTGCAGTATTAGCCGAAGTGCCGCACAACCCACATACCTTTGGCATGGGTTATCTGCCCACCAAAGAGGATTGGGTGAGGAAAGGTAAGGAGATGGCTGGGAGAGCCTGAGCAAAGCAGGCGGGGAAGCCTTTTGAGTTGATGCACAGACCCATCCAGGGTACCCTAAACGGACGCTTCGCCTAGGAGGGGGAGGACTTTCCATTTTGTGGCTTCCCAGAGCCATGGTTGAATGCGGAAAGGAAGCGCGGGCCAAGGTTTGAGATCTTCTTTGACCTGCAGTTATCCATGGATGACGTTGCCGAAGAGCAGACGGACCCATTAGCTGAGGCTGAGCAGAGCAAGAAAGTGGAGTCTGAGGAAGTTGAAATTGAAATAGGGGTAGCACTGGCTTGTCTACTTTCAGATCCTCCGATCGAACAGAAGTTCTTGGGGGATAACTTCTCGGTGTCCATGATCAGGAATGAAACGGCTGCGGGCCTACCAGCAAACATTTTGGATGCATCTATCGCACCCTCTCTCATTTGGCAGTATGAAGAAGGATTTTTGTCAAGCAGCACCGGGTCAGGCAGTGAACCGGAATCTGATTCCACCGAGTCTTGTGAGTCGGAATCAGGTTTCAGCTTGACTGAGTCTAAGTTCGGTATTCTTGGGGGTGACAACCCGGATGCCACAGTCCTGTCCAGGTCGTCTTTTTCTTTCTCTTTAGAGTCTGTGGTAACTGAAGAATCGAACGATTTGGATGTGCTTAATGAGAATGATGTGGCTGTGGTTTCTGAGTACTTTTATGTGCCCTTGATTTATTGCATTAACTTAGACTTTCAAAATTTTGATGAAAACGACGAGGAAGAAATTCCTCCGGTTTTGCAATGCTTAATTGAACAAGAGCAGGAGAGATTTGTTAAACCCTTAATGGATGAAATCACTACTGTGAATATTGGTACTGAGAAGGACTCACGGCTGGTCTAGATCGGGTCCACGTTGTCTTCAGAGGAACGCGAGCGCTTAGTCGCTTTATTAAAAAATTTCAAAGATGTTTTCGCGTGGTTCTACGAAGACATGCCTGGAATCGATACTGAGATTGTACAGCATCGGATACCTCTTGACCCCGAGGCCCGACCCATCAAGCAAAAACTCAGAAGGATCTGCCCGGACTGGGTCCTCAAGATTAAGGAAGAGGTCACCAAGCAAATTGACGCAGGCTTCCTGCTGGTATCCAAGTACCCAACTTGGTTGGCCAACATCGTTCCGGTGCCGAAGAAGGATGGGAAGATCTAGGTATGTGTGGATTTCAGGGACTTGAATAGAGCTAGTCTGAAGGACGACTTCCCCTTGCCGCATATCGATGACTTAGTGGGCTTCACAGCAGAGCATGCTTTGCTTTCGTTCATGAATGGCTTTTCGGGCTACAACCAGATAGTGATGGCACCTGAAGACCGAGAAAAGACTGCATTCACCACCCCGTGGGGGACCTACTGCTACAGAGTGATGTCGTTTGGGTTGAAGAATGCTGGAGCTACATATTAACGGGCCGCGACCACAATATTACATGACATGATCCACAAAGAGGTTGAGGTGTACGTGGATGACATGATTGTCAAGTCCAAAAAAAGAGAGGGCCACTACACCGCCTTGCAAAAGTTCTTCCAAAGGATTAGAGAATTTTAGTTGCGACTGAATCCTCAAAAGTGTACATTTGGTGTTACAGTGGGAAAAATGCTGGGGTTTCTGATTACACAGAGAGGTATCAAAGTCGACCCTTCTAAAATCAAGGCCATCCTAGAAATGCCACCACCAAGGACTGAAAATGAGGTTCGAGGCTTTCTGGGTAAAGTGCAACTCGTAAGACGGTTTATCTCAAAATTAACCTTGACTTGTGAACCACTTTTTGGTCTCCTGAAGAAAGGAAAGAAGTTCCAACAGGACGGCCGATGCCAAGCTGCTTTTGAAAAAATCAAGGAATACTTACAGAACCCGCCCGTGTTGTCACCGCCAGAGCCGGAGAGGGCGTTGATTTTGTATCTTTCAGTAACTGAGACTACAATGAGCTGTATGCTCACGCAAGAATCAGAGGACAAGGTGGAGAGAGCCATCTACTATCTGAGCAAGAAGATGCTAGAGTATGAGACTCGCTACACACCGTTGGAAAAGGCTTGCTTAGCCTTGGTATGGGCTACCAGGAAGCTGAGGCACTACCTGTTAGCTCACTCCGTAATGTTGGTTTCACGATTGGATCCCATCAAATACCTTTTCGAGAAACTAGGACTTACGAGTAGGCTAGCTCGTTGGTTGCTTTTGCTTTTCGAATTCGATATGAAATATGTGACGCGCAAGTCAATTAAAGGAAGAGCAGTAGCAGAATTCTTAGCCGATCATCCGGTGGAAGGGGGTGAAGGAATTGAGTACTTATTCCCAGATGAGGCCATTTTGCATTTCGACGATGAAACTTGGATGATGTACTTTGATGGAGTGTCAAACCAGTACGGGTATGAGATAGGAGTGTTACTGATAGCACCCGACAATTCCCGTATCCCTCTAGCATTCAAACTCCGATTCAAAGTCTCAAACAACGAAGCAGAATATGAGGCGTACATTGTCGGTCTAGAAGCAGCCCTGGAACTAGGAGCAAGACGATTGGACGTCATTAGGGACTCAAACCTTGTTGTATCCCAAGCTAAGGGGGATTGGAAAGTCAAAGAGGAAAAGATGATAATGTACCACCAGACCTTGGACTTGCTGATTCCTCGGTTTGAAAAGCTAAACTTCACTCATCTACTAAGAGAAAATAACAAGTTCGCAGATTCACTAGCAACTCTATCTTCCATGATAGACATCCCGTTTGGAGTCCGGATGCATCCAGTTATTATTGACCAGAAATTTGTGTCGGCTTACAAGTCAATTGCTACTATAGATGAGGTTCAAGATGAGAACCCCTGGTATTACGATATTTGGAATTTCTTGGAAAAGAAGCATATTCACCAAGGGTAAATGCCAAGGATAAAAGGGCAATCAGAAGAATGGCCATTCAGTTCATCATCTACGGAGGTAAATTGTATAAGAGAGGTCATCTGGGAATGCATAAGTTGTGTGTTGAAGCTAAAGAATCAAAACGCCTAATGGAGGCCATCCATGGAGCGGAATGTGGTACGCATATGAACGGGGTAATGCTAGCGTGGAAGATCCTCAGACAAGGTTACTACTGGTCTACCATGGAGGAAGATTGTATAGGCTTTGTTCGGCGATGCCACAAATGTCAGATCCATGCAAACCGCATGAACATCCAACATAAACTCCGATTCAAAGTCTCAAACAACGAAGCAGAATATGAGGCGTACATTGTCGGTCTAGAAGCAGCCCTGGAACTAGGGGCAAAACAGTTGGACGTCATTAGGGACTCGAACCTTGTTGTATCCTAAGCTAAGGGGGATTGGAAAGTCAAAGAGGAAAAGATGATAATGTACCACCAGACCTTGGACTTGCTGATTCCTCGGTTTGAAAAGCTAAACTTCACTCATCTACTAAGAGAAAATAACAAGTTTGCAGATTCACTAGCAACTCTATCTTCCATGATAGACATCCCGTTTGGAGTCCGGATGCATCCAGTCATTATCGACCAGAAATTTGTGTCGGCTTACAAGTCAATTGCTGCTATAGATGAGGTTCAAGATGAGAACCCCTGGTATTACGATATTTGGAATTTCTTGGAAAAGAAGCATATTCACCAGGGGTAAATGCCAAGGATAAAAGGGCAATCAGAAGAATGGTCGTTCAGTTCA